AAATAACAAATATGCCTTCTAACTTTTATAATTGCAAGTTTGCCTTTTTTGTTAAGGAGAAGAAAAAAAAAAAATAAAGGAATTAATAATCCAAATATTGTTAGTCCAGGTATAGCAAATACATACATCCATTAATAATGATTCTAAGTGCCATAAATTAATGAAACATCTCCTTATACATATTAAATATTTGATATTATTCTTTTTGACACAATTGAACAAAATCTAATTTTTAAATATTTTATACTATTTGATTAAACTAGAGTAATTAGACACATAGAGGTATAATAATGTATTTGAAATAATGCTTCTTTAGAATCTACCTTTTGTCAAAAGTGTATATAAGTTGTATCCAAGCTATATTATTATAAATTAAATAAGAATTAATAAAAAAGTAGCAATTATCCTGAGATAGATGAGTTCATTTTCAAAAGTATTCGATATAAAACAATCAAGATTAAATGCCATGAATTATGAAGCATTACTAGTTGATTCAATCAACGAAAGTGATATCGAAAAATTAATATTAAATGTAAATATAACTGAGAATATCCATAAATAATTAATAACCATCTTTATGAAAATACTTTCCATATCTAAATTTTAAATTTATAATAGTACCTTAGCCCAATTTAAATAAAATTTTGGCAATATTTGGCTTAAAATTAAGTTTACAGGTAAAAAATAATTAATTTGATTTTTCAATACTTCTTAATGTTATCAATATAGTAATAATAGCCCTTTAATAATACATATTAATACCAAAGGGAAGTCAAAATGAAAGGTGTAATTGTATTAATTGAGCAACCAAAACATTCAGCATCTGATTAATTTTTAAAAAACTATCCTTCCCCTCTTATATTATGAGTATCACATTCTTCACATAATCCTCCAATACGTCCTATACTACAAAGTTCGTTTCCAACCATCCAACCCCCTTTACAAAATTTTTCATTCTTGAAACAAAACTCTGTATAATCTGAATATAAATTGGGTCTCCAATAACCTTCAAATAATTAAATAGAATTTGAAGTAATATTTGCAAATTTAATTTTATCAAATATGGAACACTTTGTAGCATTATAAGTTACTGAATAAAATCCATATATTGATTCACAAATTTAACATCCTTCATCAGCGTAGAATTCCCCTAATTAACATTTATAAGTTCTTGCATTAATTAAATAGTATAAATATTCTGTTGATTCTAATGTTGAGCAACTTATTAATATCTATAAATATTCATTTTCTTCTTGATAGGGATTAAAATGAAATGAAATAGATCCTAAATCAAAAGTGTAAGAATTATAATCTGCTTGAAGAGTTGCAATTATTTCAGATTCATCTAATTAGAAGTCCTAATTAAATTCTAAATTAATTTGTGAGACTTGGCAAAATAATAATTGTGAATTTGTCAATAATTCATTTCTACTATTTCTTAATGATATTTGAAATTCATCGAAAATATTCAAACTTACTTGTTGTGATGGAATGAAAATTGTATAATCTTTGATTACTTATTCACTTGGAATCATCAAAGATGAACTAGTTTTACAAACCCCTTATTCTATTATTTTATAAGGTTTTAGCAACAACCTTCTTAATTTAATATTACTAATTTAAATTTCCTCTGATTACATTTCTTAAGAATTTATAATCAAACTTAAATGGGCTGGAAATTCAAAGAAATTACTTGATTCTGTGTTAGCTTTGTTGAATAAAATGAGGGATTAAATAAAATTCTCTTAATTGATGGGAGATTAACCTTAAAAATAAATTCCTCCTCCTTTGTCTGCAAAATTATTTATAATTATTGTTTCTCTTATTAAAAAATGTATGTTATTCATTTCTAAAAATAAACCGCCTCCTAACGCGCCTATGTTTTATATGATTTTACATTTAGCAATACTTATGGCTATGCCACTTGAATATATAGCTATACCATTAGTACCGTTATTAAGTAAGAAGTTAGAGTTAGATATTGATATAGTTTAGTTTTATGAATAATTTGTTACAATATTAATGCATCCATTAATTTAAACCATATTTTAACTACATTTTAGATCTCTAATTATTATTTAACTTTAATTTTCCATTTTCAAAAATAATAGTCCATTTGAACAGTCCTAACATAAATTATCCTATAATAAGATATTTTAAAGATATATGACCGTCTAATTTGAATCAGTTTGAATTTCTATTATTGAGCTCAATTGCCAAGTTTACATAAGATTAATGAGATCATTAAAATAATAAATCTAAGGATTCTATTAAATATTTTCAACTTAACCGCATCCTGAAATCATATAATTTATTTTAGGATTGTAGAAGATTGAAGCATCCCTAACTATATAAGGTTTAAAGTGGTAAATATATACGAATTCAAAATAAATGCTTTATTTTATTTACAAATTTAGTTTTAATTCTAAGAGACTGAATCCATAGAATGTTTGAATTTCAATTGCCTAAAAATAAGAGATAAATAAATATTAAACATTAATCAATTTAATTAAAGGGCAGGCATAAAGACCTTAAATTAAAATATTTTAGATAACAACTTTACAATTTGATAATTATATCATAGCATTAGACGTTCCAGTTAGATCTTAAATTTCAGATTAACTAATCATTCCAGTCTTATCAAAGTATTTAATCCAAATATCTTCATATTATGATATTTTGATATTTCTAATAATTACTGTATTTAAATTTATATCATATGATGAAAATTATAAATTGATAATTGGATTCTTTAATGATATTGTATTAATAATTTAAATATCTTCAATTCTTACTTAATTCTTTTATAATGAAGGAATTATTGTAAAAATTGAAGGAGCCATTCTATTGAATATATTTTAAAATACTGCATTATAAATTTATAAATTAAGTAAACTATTAGAAGAATAAATAGTAATACAACCTGTACTATCAACTATTTAAGATAAATCATATTCTAATGATTTTATTGTTAAATTTATGAATGAAATATTTCCATCTCCTTAAGTCTTTATTTCAAATACAGAACTTTTTAATCCTATTATATCTTCAAATGAACAATTAAAACAGGAAAAACTTGATGCAGATATTAAACCACCTCCACCTTTACTTTTGATTTTAAAAATTTATTAAATTATTAAATTGATTTAATCCTAATCATATTCATCTATATCAATTGAAAAATCATAATAAGACATCCATAATTCAAAAGGTATTACATTATGTTTTGAAATACTATAATTTGTTAATTATATAATTTCAGATTTCAAAGATATAAATGAATTTGAAGAATTAGTTAGTGCATTAGACTAACAAATAAAATTATTAATCTCAATTAATCCTCCAATAGATATTATCTAAATTAAACTTGTTGAAGATTCAGATGGATCATCAATTTAATAATGCAAAAAGTTATTTTA